AATTCTCAATAAATTATTTATTTAAATTAAAAAAAAACTAAATGGTTCCAGGTGAAATTCAAGTATTTTTATCTAGCTGTAGAAGGTAAAATTTGCTATTAAAGTTGAGTAAAGAAGTAGTAAAGAAATGTGAGACAAGCGTTCTCATACATTCATTGCACATTAAGCTGTTAGTATATGATATGAAATAGGAAAACTGACAACAGTTAAAATTTTAAGTACATTAAAATTATTTTACCAAGTTTAATAATTTGTTCTTCCTTTCCAAATCGCTTCACCGAGGTGATATAAAGATCTCTGTTTTTATCAATGAAAGCAATTTTTCTATCATTGGTAAGTCCTTTTTGATCCAGACCAATCTCAGAGATTTCATTCTAAAATTAAAAAAAAAATGTGTGTTTAATTTGTTTAAGTGCTTCACATATGATCATTCTAATTATTTAATTATCAGCACATTTCTGTTCTGAAAGATCAATTAAGTCAAATATGGAGGTACATTCCTATAGTCCCAGCACTCAGGATTAATATTTGAGCCCAGCCTGTGCTATACAGCAAGATCCTGTATTGAGAAGCAAAACCAAAACAAAACCCCCAAATCAATTAACTGTCAATGATCTATGTATAGTAATAATATATCCCTATTATTTTTTATTATATTTGAGCACAAGGAACATAAATTTATGTAGGAAAAGGAGAAAGAACCCCTGAGAATGGGAGGGATTCCAATTAAAATAATTTTAAATTGTCAATATCCTAATAATTCAAGGGCTGCACTGAAGTGTAATTACCTTGCTCGTCATCCAAGGGAAATATGTCCTTAAAATATAATAAAATGAAGTCTACATTGATACTTTGTATACTGAGAGCCACTCCCCTCTGCTCTTCTGTCCTATCTTTAGTTGACAGAGTGAAAGAATAAAGCAAGTCTGAATATCAAATGAGAGGTCTATTTGATTAAAAGGTTTCTTATACTGAAGTTTATTCTAAGCAGATTGTCTAACACCTGTATTTTAAAGATTTATTAAGTAAACTTTAGAAATATATAGGAATATGTCATATTCAGAACATTAAGATTTACAGAATTGGGGGCTGGAGAGATGGCTCAGCAGTTGAGGGCATGCACTGCTCTTGCAGAGGACCCAAGTTTGGTTCCCAGCATCCACATTAAGCAGCCCACAACTGCCTATAACTGCAGCTCCATGGGATCTGACCCCTCCTCTGGCCTCTGCGGGCACTGTACTCAATGCACAAACCCATACTCACATACATGCATATAAAAATAATTTAAAATAACAATTTTTAAACTCACAGATATTTTCTGTGTAACAGGAAACATGGTATAGTTATTATATGTCACAAATGAGACCCAGTCATTCAGTGAGTTTTTTGGTTTGAAAAAGCTGATAACCAAGTATGTCTAATACTTATAACTCTGACTCCAAGGTCTTTCCTTTTCCACAATAATAAAATATTTTTGGCATATTGTATTAATTTATTATATTAGCTAGTAAGACGAATTTTCTTAAAATCTGAAACACTTCAGTATGGATTTGCTTCCATCCAATCCAAGAGTAGTTAATGTACTGCCTAGGGAGGCAGAAGCAGGCAGGTGTCTGTAAGATCAAGGCCAGCCTGGTCTATATAGTGAGTTCCAGGCCAGCTGTAGAGAGACCCTATTTTAAAGGAAAAAAAAAAAAGATTATACCAGCAGGTCCAAAAAACACACATATTCTTTCATTCAAATTGATGGACCAGTCATACTACTTCACAATACATTCTTAAAAATGAGCTCATCTCGACCTCCTCCATAGGGGTAGCTGCTGGGAGCTCAGTAGACTGAGCAGATCTGGCTTTGGTAGGTTAAGGCTGAGATCCTAGCAGACAGCCTGAGAGGGAGGGTTCAGACCTCCAGCTGATCTGAAGCCATCAGTTCCCTCAAAAATAAACCTGAGAGAAGCTGAACCCTGTACCAACCAGCTTTACATTAACCAATAAACAAAGGATCTAGGCACCCGGATAATACAAACAGAAGCATGCTTCAACTTAATTCTCACATTAGAATCATAAACATGCCAAAAACACAATAAAAGAATAATAAAATGGAAAGCCAAAACACTATGTCCCCACCAAACTCTACCAATTCTGTAGATTCCTAAAAGGAGAACCCACTAAAGATAACCCAGGACACTGAATTTAAAAGAACAATCATAAACATGATCAAGGAATTCAACAAAGTTAAAGAACACGTGAACAAACAAATCAAGCTAAAAGAAGATAGGGATAAACTTCTGAATGAATTCACAAAAGAGATAGCAACATTGAAGAAAACTCAGGCAGAAATGAAGAAGGAAGTGGAAAACTCAATAAGCCGACTTGAAACAACAGGGGAAAGCCTCACTGTTAAAATGAATGAAATGGAAAACAGAATATCAGCACTGGAGGATAAAGTTGAAGAATTGGACCACTCAAGCAAAGAGTATGGAAAATTTAAAAAAACACAGGAATGGAATATGCAAGAGATGTGGGACACCATGAAAAAATCAACTCTACGGATCATAGGAATAGAGGAAGGAGAAGAATTTCAGGTTAATGGTGTTGACCAGATCTTAAATAGGATTGTAGGAGAGAACTGACCGAAATTGAGGAAGGACATCCACATACAAATACAGGAAGCACACAGAACATCAAATAGACAGGATCTCCCCACGACATATCATAGTAAAAACACTAAATGTACAGAACAAAGAGAG